CAACTGACTAAGCCACCCAGATGCCCTAGAAATGGTTATTTTGTTTTATTTTTAATTTTTTTAAATGTTTATTTATTTTTAAGAGAGACAGAGACAGTGACAGAGACAGAGCATGAGGAGGGGAGGGGCAGAGAGAGAGGGAGAGAGAGAATCCGAAGCAGGCTCCAGGCTCTAAAGTGTCAGCACAGAGCCCCATGTAGGACTTGAACCCGTGAACCATGAGATCATGTCCTGAGCTGAAGTTGGAGGCTCAACAGACTGAGCTACCCAGGTGCCCCCAGGAATGGTTATTTTATAGACATGTTTTTATTACTTATTTTTGAGAGAGAGTGAGAGACAGTGTGAGCAGGGAAGGGGCAGAGACAGAGGGAGACACAGAATCCGAAGGAGGCTCCAGGCTCTGAGCTGTCAGCACAGAACCCAAGGCCGGGCTAAGCTCATGAACCATGAGATCATGGCCTGAGCTGAAGTCGGAGGCTCAACCGACAGAGCCACCCAGGTGCCCCCAGAAATGGTTATTTTAAATTAAAGGTTGCTTTCCTTTTTTTTTTTTTAATGAAATAGTCATTTATAAGATAATTCTGAAAACTCAAATTATAGTTGGTGTTTTACTGTTGTTTTGTTATTCCATAAGTAGTTGGTTTAGCCATGTCAGCCTTAGCTTAAAACTAAAAAGAATCAAATTGGTGCACTCAGTCCTCTTAACCACAACTTACCTGGCTTCTAAGATACAGTTGATAATATCTGTCTTACCCTTTAAGTACTGATTAAGTTGACTGCATGTATCATATGCAGCCTATAGTAGGAAACTAACTTATTGCTTATAACAAGAAAATACTGGAGTCAGTATTTGTCATGAAAGACAAAGTGTTTCTCCAATGTAAAACAGTTTTGGGGATAGCTGAAGGGTTTGCCTGAGCTGTGTATAATCACTATTAACAGGAGCTTTTTCCCCCCTCATGTTTATCAGCATCGGAGAAACTAATGTAGAAAGAAAGACGAAGAAAAAAAGGTAAGTGTGGCTTTAGGAATATTATGTAGATAATAAAGAATACTCATTGGAGGGATGAAAAGAGTGATTTTAAAACACTTGTGATAAAATTTGGATCTGAAATCTCTTGTCTGTAATTCGTGATTAAGTATCATCCCTTTTTCCTCTCTTTACCTGACTGGAATTTATTGGCTTCATTTCTCCTTTTTCTCCAACTTTCCAGAGTATACCTGGAAGTAGTAAATAATTTCTCTTAGAAATCTCTCTTATTCTATTAGAATAGGAAATATTATTAGACTGGTAAAAAAAAAAAATTGTTGACCAGCTATATATCTGGTGAGAGTAAAGATTATGAAACATTTACCATGCTCTCCAAGGCTTAAATAAACCCAACAATTACACTGCAACTTTATTCTAACATGATTCATTCTGGAGTATATTAAGAGTAGGAACACTGCTCTTGAACTCCATCCAGGAGAGTTACGTTATTAAAGTAAAACCTGCGGTTGCTGCGGGATTACTAGTCACACAGTCCCCAGCGCACCACATCTAGGGATCCCGTGGTAGCCAGGCTTCAGTGTATCCATATACCTCGTTCGCCCATGAAATTGCTTTTTAAACATTCTATGAAGGGTCAGCTTCCCCTGCATGTGACTGTTCACTGTCTAACAGGTCTAAGAGTGTCACCAGTTCCAGTAGCAATAGCAGTGACAGTTCAGCCAGTGATTCTTCATCTGAGAGTGAAGAAACATCTACCTCATCCTCCTCAGAGGACAGTGACACCGATGAAAGTTCCTCCAGTTCATCGTCTTCATCCTCCTCCACGAGCTCTTCCTCGTCCTCTGATTCAGACTCAGATTCTAGCTCTTCCAGTAGCAGCAGCACCAACACAGAGAGCAGCTCCGAGGATGAACCACCAAAGAAGAAGAAAAAGAAATAGAATCGCTCTGTCCCTATTGGACTGCCGGACTGAACACATCAGTGTGATTCTCGAAAGGGAATTTAGATCGTGTTAAGGTCAAACAGGTTAACTAGTCAACATTTCTAGAGTTTGGAAGTTTCTAAATGTTTTACACATCATAAGAGCATAAAGAGTATTGTGTGTGTGTGCGTGTGTGTGTGTATATATATATATATATATATATATATATATAAAAGACTTTTTTTATTTTAAGGGTAAATCTCGTTTTTCTTTTTTATCTTTAATATATATCTCTAAAACTTAAAGCTGAATCCAGTAAATCTGTTATTGTGATGAAACTTTTCTTTTCTCCCTGTGAAATGAATGCCACACTTTGTTACATGTTAGTGCTACGTATCAGACATGTTTTCAGGATAATGAACCACAATGTCTGGCAGTGAATTTCTCATGCTTTTGGCTGTGTTATTATGGAAGATTTACTACCTTGTTACTATAAACTTAGAAGAGTTTTCCTCTTAATAAATGTGCTCGATTTTTATGTTTATGTTCAGAAGGTTATTGTGACTTCTTAAATGAAAAGCTCAAGGAACCTATTAATATATTTATGCCTTTTCAGTCGTACAAGTGTCCACTTACTGTGTTATGTCATTCGTTTTCTTCTGGTTCTTAGAGTTACTCTTGTCTGAGGAAAATCAATCTAGAGGAACCTAAAAAGGAACCAAAATTCTGAAAGTACTTAGGAGTCCAGTCTTGGTGCCTTTTGATAAGTTGTGTGTATCAGAAAAGAGTCACTTAAAAGTTTAATTTAAGTAAAGTGATATAAATATCTTTGTGTGTTAATATGCTGTAAAAGGTAGGAGAGGAAAAGGAAGAGGAAGAAAGGTAATTTTTACCAAAACTTAGGGCGATGTTGGTTGCCTTTTATTAAGTTTTTCTAAGCATTCATAAAGATTGCCTTTTATTATTTTATTATTATTTTTGCCATTGTGATTTGACAGTTCATGGCAACTGGTCATATCTGGCGATCTACTGAGTAAATACAAATGACTTGGATTAATCTCATGTGTTTACATAGCATAGACACCGTTGAAATGTAGCATGTAAGATTAAAAAGAAATACTGCACAATATTTCTTAAAAGTGATATACTCTGCTGTGGTGAAATTATTTAGTTGTGCATGACATCATTCTATGATGTCTTTTAAGCTTTTTGGAAAGAGGTATCGTTTGTAGAAAAATCGTGACTTGGGCTAAATAAGGGTTTTTAAAACTATGAATGTTGTCTTTTTTATATTTTTATGAGAAAGTAGAAAACTGCTTTTGAAAAAATGAGCTTCTATTTAAGTGTTGAAATACACATATGTTGTAAGTTTAAGGAGCCTGTAACTCCTTGTATGTTTTATAGAACCAGCTGTTTTCAGTGATTGTAAATAAACTCTCAAAACATCATTTCAAAGGCTCCATACAGAACATATCAATTGACAGGTAGATTTAATAAATTACTAATTAATCCCATTTTACAACGGTAGTCTCTATAAGGGCATTTTTAGCAGTTAAAGAACTTGGAAGAGAAAAGAAAAGTGTACTTAGGTTGCAACACTTGGAATTAAATAAAACTCGTTTGTGCTCACGAGCTCAAGCATCTATTATCTCTTTGCTATTTTACTTAATGCTAGCTCTTATTCCTTTGGAGGGTAAGGACATTTAAGCAAATTCTAATTATTTTTATTGTTGTAACTGTTACAAGGTGTACCTGGAGAAGTACAGAAGGCAGGAATTCTATTCTTTTCTAGTCATACAGTTCATTCAAAACAGAATCAGTGGCGGGGCACCTGTGGGGCAGGGTCAGTTGAGCATCTGACTCTTGATGTCCACTCAGGTCACGATCCAAGCGTTGTGGGATTGAGCCCTGTGTTGGGTTCTGTGCTGAGTGTAGAGCCTGCTTGAGATTCTCTCTTTCTCTTCCTCTGACCCCCGTCCCAATACGAATAACAAAAACAGAAAACAGAATCAATGGCAAGGTAGAGTCTAACTTCCGAAGAGTTTCTCCATATCCTGCCTAAAAGCAAAATTTGGAAGTTGAGTCCCTGACGTATGTCTTTTTTTTTTTTTTT